CTGAGCTAACATTCGCGCCAGTCTTCCTCGACTTTAATGGGGGACGCTGCCACAGCATGGCAAACCCCGGGTGGTGGAAGCAGCCACAAACATAACCACTATGCCACCCGGCAGGCCCACATTTTTATTTCTGTGTGTGGATTCTAGACAAACAGTCTCTTTTTCTTCTTCCTGCATGCTTCTATGTTGTTATTTATTGGACAATGGTCCCTTGTTTTTGCTTAATTATGTCTTTCTTCTGTTTCTGGCAATGCACATACGTTCTATCATAATTCTGCCTAAAAAGGAGGGGGGGGGGGGCGCTGAAAACAGAACCTGTTGAGTTTTGTTGTAGTTGTTGTTTTTAATACATTAGATACGCAGAGTGAAGGAACAACGCACTGTCTTTCATGAGTAAAAGAGCCTGCCCAGGTCATTTTTAACAACTCCTATCTGTGGTTTAGGCACTTAATCTTTGTCACTGATTCAACTAATCGTCAATAAGTTATAATTATTTAAGTGCCACACAACAAGCAATTGTATGTTTGTGCTGCAATGACTTTAGCTCCTACATTGTTTTACACTGTTTGCTTTCCTGAGGTTGTAGGGGAATTTATCAACTGCTACTTGTATAAAACCTCTTATTGTCATACTGCAGATACCAAGTGTTGTGATAGCAGACTGTCAGTCCTGAAAGTCCTGAGATAACACGTGAACGATTGGAAAAGAATTCCTTTCCTAGAAATTAAAACAAATATTAAAATGCACCAAACGCCTGGGTTCCTATTTACCAATAAAATATTGGACACATAAACCTGATACATGACCTGAATATTATTTTTTAAGTAAATGTGTACGTGTGTGAAGGGATGGTTTGGTACCATTTAATCTCAGAGAACTCTTCATCATGAATCAAAATTGGTTGTGTTCTGCTTTATGGATTAGATCTCTAGCACAGAATCCCCAGGATCCTGCAGAAAGAAGAACAAACTGGTCATTGAGCTTTGGGGCTCCGGCAATTTAGTTGCTATTATCTGTCTCCACTGAGGTCAATGACAAATTCCAATTTGGAAAAGCTGTTGTTAAAACAAATGCCATGTTTGGGAACCCACAGGTCATCTTTGTGTTTGCCCCCACCTTTTCTAAGCTGGTTCTTCCAAAAAGAATGTCAAGGTAAGTGTTGGTATAGTCTCTGGGACTGACAGATTCTATTTTCCTGATTTGGAATTTGAGAGGTTTTTTTTCTAGATCTAATTTCATAACCTTCAAGAAAGTAATGATATGAGAAGCATATATTCCTTCTGGTTTGTAGCTAAGTAAAGAAGACATTTAGTGTTTGTTTGGGCCCACTATCAGCTCGTCCCACAGTTGTCAATAAAACCTACCTGGTTTCCTAAAATTGTATTCATCCTTCTGAAGAAAGGTAGGAGGTAAAAGGAGAAAATTGACCAAATGTAAGAATTATAGGGGTTGGAAGTTTGTATAGTCTAAATGTGATTTAAGAAAATAATTTAAATGTTCACTTTAAATATCTACAAGTTAATCTACATCATTTAGCTATGAATGTTTTCCTGATCCTTCAAAGCAAAACTAATTTAACACAAGATCTGCTGTCGTTTCAAAGTAAGAGAAAATCATGGAGACTAGAGTAAAATGTCTACCTTAAAATGACTTCAAGGGATGAACCAGGCAGAAAGAATTAAATCCACAGCAGCTATCCCAGAAGAGTACAGAATTGATATTGAAATGTTGGGGTGGACATTGTTTCAAAATAAGAAACTTTTAACGCTATCTTGTTGGAGTATCTGCCTCTGCCTCTTTTGGCTAAAAGTGTCCGGATGGAGTTTCCCAGCTACGTCCTCAACTAAGCTGACTTTCCTGAGTATGACTAGAAGTGTTGGGGCATATGCTTTCTGGTAGATGAAAGGGCAAGTGAGCTGTGTGTATCAGTAACAACTTCACCTCTGGAATGTCAGTTCGTGCTTTGACTGGAGATTCTTTGCAGATACCTAGGCAGTGGAAATCAAGACACAACAGACTTGAGGCTATTTTGACAAAGTAAGCAAAGCTGAATGCATTAGAAATACTTCTGGGAAGGGGTTATTGTATTGTGATTTGAGAAATTATCCTTGTTCGAAGCATAATTGGACCCTTCTAATGATCCTAGAGCACTTTGCAGAAGATGGTCATGATAAAAAGAAGCAGTAGTTCCAGCCGGCCTGGTCGTGTAGTCGTTGAGTTCATTTGCTGGTCCCATCCCAGGTACCTACACACCGCTCATCAAACCACGCCATGGCAGCATCCCTCATACAAAGTGGAGGAAGATTGGCGCTCAGCGACAATATTCCTCAAGCAAAAAGAGAAAGATTGGCAACAGATGTTAGCCCAGGGCCAATCTTTGTTGCCAAAAGAAAAGGCAGTAGTTCATGTCATTGTTGGGGTCTAATCATCAGTGTATGCTATAACTTGCATTCGATTACATTACTCACTTGCTCCCCAGATTAGGGATGAGGGAGTGGTGGCTCAGTGGTCGTGAACTTCCCAAGGTCATTAAACTGGAAATAGCAGCCTGTCTCTAAAATAAGGTGCAAACAGTGCCCCTAAAAAGCAGATAATCTCTTCTTAAGATTCTGTAGCTGGGATTTCTTTATTTCTGCTTGTTGCCTTCTCTTGTCTTTTCCTGAGTGGTTGTGAACAACAGCAAGAATATTGCTGTTTATGCATTAGGATTTCTACTTAAGATTAGTTTTCTTGACTATGAGGGCCTCTTACTAGATATTATCAGAAAGAAGTGAAACTCATTGAAACTTTCATTCCTTTCATTAGCAGTCCATCTCGTTAACTTTATTGAATGAGCACATTAAAGCCGTGAATTGTTTATGGGGGTAAAAAAGGACTCAGGCTGTTTTTTCTCCATATATACCTTTTTTGACATGACTTCCACAATACTGGTACATTCCCCCCCCCCCCCGCCCCCGTATTTATCCTAAGTTCTCAGTCTTTCCATATATTAAGATCGTACCCACATTACTGTAATTTTTTTTGAAGAAACATCTTGTGCAAAAAGACCTTTTGAGAATGGTAGCTACCTCCCCCAAATTGGTTTTTCTTAAACATTCAACAGACCCAGAGTCTCCCGCGCCTAACTTAGTTTGGACTGAGTTTCAACGGGCCGGTGATGCTCGTGGGGAAGCCTCGGCCTGCCCCAGTTCGGAGCAGCCGGACCGGCAGGCGCTGGAGCTTGCACCCTCCCAGCCGGCGAGGGCGGCGCCCCTTTCCGGGTGGGCTCCGAGGTAAAGCGGAGCGCGGGCCCCAGCTCTTCCCAGAGCGCGCGCGCCCCCTAGCGGCCGAGCCAAGGACTGGGCGCTGGGAGGGCCGTGTGACGGCGGCCACCCCATCGACGGTACCCCACCGCCCGGCCGGCGCTCGGAGACCCGAAGTCAGCCCGTCAGAAATAAACCCGGGCGTCCCGGCGCCGACCCCAAGCTTCCTGAGGCTGTGCTGCCCACGCGCGCCAGGTCCCCCTGTCCCCTCCGGCTTGCCCCAGGGGTGCTGTCTCGGCGCGGGCAGCGCGGCGGCCTCAGCGGCCGGCGAGGGCCCTCGTTTCTCGCCGTCGCCGCGGCCTGGAGCCGGGGTCGCAGCTCGCGCTCGGAGCCCGGGCCGTGCGTTTCCGAGGGCGGCGGGCGCCCTCCTCCGCCCGGATGCGCGCGGGCCCGCGGCGGGCGTGGGCGCGGGCGCGGGGCCGAGCCCCGGGAAGGGGAGGAACTTGTAATCGCTTGCAGCAGGACAATGCCGACTTTTGAACCTCTAACCACTAAGCAAACAACCCTTGTGCTCTCGCTCCACTGTCCAAACAGGGTTTATTGACAGGCGTTTCACAGCAACGCGTAGCAACCGCGGCGGCGGCTAGGGGGCGGGCGGTGGGCTCGGCCGGGCGCGGGGCCCGCGCTCCCTCCCAGCACCCACGCCCTGGGGGACAGGGGACCACAGCCACCGTGAAACGGGACCCGCGCCTCCGCAGACCCCCACGCGGCTTTCCTCCGGGGGGCCGCGTATGCCCCCGAGGGGCGGGCCAGGCGCTCTCCGTCCGGCGCCCCTTTCTCCATCCGTAGCCGGACGCGCCCCCCGCAAGGGCCGCGGAATCAGGGAGCTGCTGCAGGGGGTGTTATGTCTCGAAGCCTTGCTCATCCTCCCCTGCCCTCGGGGCACCTTCTCCTTCTGTTGAGGCGCTGATTAGGCTCGAAGGTGCTTGTGGGGAGACCGAAATGGAGGGCAAAGCCCTCTTCCTCGGGCCCCGACGGCAGTGTCCACATCGGCAGCTTCCAGAACCAAAACCTCAAGGGCAGCAGCCCGGTCCCCAGCGGATCGGCCAGACAACAGCACCGTCACCAAAAGGATGTCCTTATACTGGCCCAGGAATTCTTGTATGTGGGGCTAGGTGGGCGGGAGACGATGGGACAAGGAAATGGCACAGAACAGGGCAAGGAAGGGGTGGAGGCACAAAGGGCTCAAGGAAACGCCCAGCGATTTGCAGAAAGACTATGTTCATGGAACTGTGGCCTCGGGAAAACAGAAAATAAATATTTTTACTTAATGCTTATGTTTAACTCGCTGGATTGTGGGGGATCCCTAGGGAGGAGGGCATCGCTGCTGAAGGGAATGCTTAAAATCTCCTCAGTGTGGATGTGAGGAGATGCTGAGGGGCTCTCTCACCTCCACCCCCCATAACTCCCGGCAGCTGGGAAGCAGCTGACCATTCAGATGTGCATTTCGCCCAAAGGCACCCCCAGGAGAACCATACATTCCACAATCCTAGGCTGGGCTCCGGCTTGGGGGCAGGGAAGGTCTCAGAAGCTGCTCCCTCGGGCTTCTGCCGCTCTGGGGTAAAATGAGGTTGTCCAGATAACCTTCGCTACCCCCTCCCTGACTTTTCTAATTCTAGCTTGCAAGTAGAGAAGATACTTAATTCCTTAAAAAAATAATAATTCCAGACAAAATCTGAAGACAATAAATACAGAATCTGAAATCTGGAAAGCTCGTTTATCTCTTTTTCTTTTTAGAAAAAATTCAGCTGTGTTCAAATACCCCCCACTTCCCTTCACCATATCACTTCTCTCCCCGTGGAGCCAGAGGCTTTTTAAAAGCTGGCTTGGATGTTACACAGACCAACAACCCAAACAGCAGCAACAACAACAACAACAACTCCCCTTCTTCATCAGCCCCAAGATTGTGAAAAGGACAGGAAGTCCAGGTTGGCTCTGGCATTTATAGCACTGACATACATTCAGCCCAGAGAAGCTCTGGTGACAGGCTTTCTAAACAAGGCTCTGTCCTGGGCCCCCTTGTCAGGCCTGGAGTCCAATAACCACCCCCTCACACCATACAGCACACATACACCAGCCAAGCCTTTCCTGGTCTGGGCAGGGAAGAGAAGAAAGACAAAGACCTGGGGGTTCTGCAGTCCTTGGTAGGTCCAGGTTTCTATCTTAGCTGCCTCTGGCTTCTGCAGTTTAAATCTTGCCTGCCCTTGAGGCAGGAGGGGCCAGCTGGTCCTTGGATGGTGAGCAGGCAGTAGCCATCTTGGCTCCAAGCATTGGCGTTACCTGGAGTGCCTCTCTGCTCAGCTCCCACCAGAGATGCATCCTGCAGAGTTTGGAGGCAAAGAGCTGGGGAGGTGGGGGCTGGAAACCTGGTCTGTTTAGCCAGTCTAGGCATTGCTTCTGCCAGTACCAAACGAAGCCCCCATCATTTACCCTCTCCTCGGGGACAGAAAGAGTCAGACCGGAAAAAGTCAAAATCTGGGAGAATGTCTTCCTTGAGGCCTCCAACCCCACTTGTCTTTACTCCTGGCCCCCAGTTTTTCTCTGAGAGCTGGGTAAGTTGGTGTACATTTGTGGGTGGGAAGGGAGGGGTCTCTCCTGAAGATTCTAGCAGAGTCCATGCTCCTCATGGCTCAGCCTGGAATTGCTCTGCTGCTGCAGGCCACTGTAGGTCACTGGGTGACAGTGGGGTTTAACACCCCCCCGGTTGGCCCCAGAACCCCAGGGACAGAGCCAGGCACCGAGCCTTGGAGGGAAGACACAGGACTCAGGGGCTCCGGGACACTTCTCAGAGGACCTGGCTGTGGCTGGGCAGGCTGTGGTGCAGGCGGCGGCTGCTGTGGCTGCTGCGGCGGCTGCTGCTGTTGCTGCTGCTGCTGCAACTTCTTCTTGTTGATTTTCCTTTCCTTCGCTCTGCGGTTCTGAAACCAAATTTTAACCTGGAAATGGGAAGGCGGAGAAAAATGGAAAGTGATGCAGAAGTAGTCAGGGAAAAAAAGAACAGCATTCAGCACCAGCACCACTATCTCCCTCTGCAACCAAAGACAGAGGACCCCCAACCCTTCTCACAGCCTTTCACTGGATACCTCGACACAGCCAAGCGCTGCAGCCCGCCCCCCGCCCCCCAAGCCAGACTCAGCCTCATGAGAGGGGAGCCTTCCTCCCTCCTTGTTCCCTAGATTTCTTTCCAAAGCAGCCTTTATCTACAACTTCACTGGAAAAGTTCAGAGTCTCAGAACCAAGGAAACAGAAACTGTAAGGCCCTTTCCACACAGAGCAAGAGGAGGCCAGTGCTGGAGGGGCTTCAGAATGGCAACCTTTGGCCTCTCAAAGCTAAAGTGTAATGTAATACTCCTCACCCTGAAGCTGAGAATGAGACTTAACGTGGGGCTTCCTGGCTGTGCATCGGGTTTGTTTTTCCTAAACTATGTAGAGTGTTCATAAGCCAAACCTCACCCCTCTAGTTTTTATGGGCAGGTATTGGGGTCTTATGTTAATTCTTTCCCCAGGTACAGTGCTGGGCACAAAGAGAAAAGATCTTTAAATCTTTATTGACCCAAATGGAATTCTGGATTAAACTAATACTCAGTTTTTTCTTGGACCTCCCGGACCCCCCCAAAAGAGAAAAAAATATTCAACATCAAAAAGAGACAGAGGTGAAAGGAGGCTTTTAAAAAGCATTCAGAAGGAAAACGCTCTCTATCCTTTTCCTTTGCTCTGCCCACAGAACGAGGTGGGTTCCCGGGCCCAGCTCCTAACTCTCTGGCGGGACTCCCCCCTACGGTGACCGGGCCCCAGAGGGAGCAGGACAGTGCCCACCTGCCTCTCGGAGAGCCCCAGCGTGGCAGCCAGCTCAGCCTTCCTCCGGATGGTGATGTACCGACTGTAGTGAAACTCCTTCTCCAGCTCCAGCCGCTGGTGGTCCGTGTACACAACTCGGTATTTGTCTTTCGTCCTGGTTTTCACTGTGGAGGAAGGAGAAGTTGGGGCTGAGCACTGCGAGGCCGCCCATCAGTCATGGGTAATGACAAACCTCCCTAACCCCGGGGCCATTTCTCTTCCTCCACCGCCCTGGGGGGCCGGGGCTGGCCAGTTCCTGCTTGTCTGACAAGACCCCCCAGAGGGTCCTGGGGTGGGGGGGTGTGGGGCTATCCCGGACAACTAAACTAACCTTGGAGTTAAGCGGTTTTAAAAAATTAAGGAAAATTAAGGAAAATTAAAACGTCATACACACAAAAGATAGCAGAGCCCAACTACCCTTTTGGTAAAACAAAACAGCACTGAAGCGGCGGGGCCCAAAGGCAGAGGGGCAGATCAGAGTCCCGGAAACAGAGACTTTCAGGCCTACCAGAGAGGGAAGCCCACGCTGAAAACAGCTGGGACTCTGGGTACACGTCCTGGGAGGGGGGTTACTTTCTGGTTGCTTTATTAGAAGTGGAAAAGGGGGTGCGGGAGCTGCCAGGTTCCCTCAAGTCACCAGAACCATCCCCCAGGTAGGGTGGGCCCATCTGGTGGAATTCTCAGCTGGGGTCTGGCAGGCAGCAAACCTCTCCCACTGGGGACACGGTACACCGGGCCCACCCTGGTTTGGCATTTGGCACTTTTTCCCTTTGAATCCCCCCGTTCATTTCTGCGGCAAACGCTGCCAGAGCTATCCTGACCGGTGATCTACGCTCATTGGATTGAGTCAACATATTAAACCTCGGATTGATTGTTTTACTGAAGGGCCTTGACAAATAGTGCCGACGCAGTCGGAGCAGGCCGAGCCTGGCGTCTCCGCCGGCACCGTCCCTCGGCAGAGTGCTGGCCAGGAGATGTTCCCTCCGGGCGGCCCCAGGTCAGGGTCTCGCACCAAAACAGGTTCAATTGCCCAGTGCCCGGTGCTACAGGAAGATCTAAAGGGTCTGGGAGTTGCTTGGAGGTGTTTAATGCCCCGCAGGCCGACTTTGTTCAGGTAAAACCCTTTGCAAACCACAACAAAAGCGCCCTGGGAAGATGCAGGCCGGATCAGAGGGAGCTCCCCCGAGCCGCTGAAAGGGGAACACAGTCGCAAACAATGCAGGACAAGGCGATCTTATCAAAGAAAAGCCCTTTCAATGCCTTAATAACAACCGCATTCTGTTTGAATTACCACTACTGAGCAAATGGCGGCCCCGGCTTTCATCCCCCTCCCCGCCAGGCGCATTAACATAAACACGGCCGGCAGGCGCATTTGAATGGGCGCAGCGGCCCCGACCCCGCGCCTGAGAAAGGACAGGGAGCCAACGCGTCCCCGGAGCCTCCAAGCGTGGGCGCGGCACACGCGTTAACCCTCAGACCCACTCGAGGCTGCCCGTGGAAGTCGCCCCTCTTTACAGACGAGGAGACTGAGAATCAGACTAGGTCACGCAGCCCGTATAAGGCGGGGCTGGCACTGGAGCCAGGCTGGAACCACACAGGACACCTCCAGGGCTGGGGAGCAGCGCAAAGGAGTTCTCTGAGCCGAACTCTCCTGTAACCACACTCGCCTTGGGGTGCTAGGGAGCAGATGTTTCTCGGGTGCTGCCCCGTATCCTGGATGCGCCGGGACACGCAGTGACCAGGTCCCATGCGCGCACTGCAGCCCACGCTCCAAGGGTCACGGAGGCGCCCCGCACCCCCTGGGAACCAAGAAGGGGGCTGGAGGAGGGGAGAGATGAGAGGGACTTGTCAGAATTCATTATTGACTGCGAAAGTCACCACCCTCTTTCCGGGCCCTAAAAGAGACAATGGCAGGGCTGGGAAGGTGTATATCAAAGCAGGCCGGGCCAAGTACCAACCCCCCCTCGCCCCTTGACAGATGACGCTCCGCAGAGGAGTCGGGCTCCGGGCCCGCGGGCCGCTGGCCTCCCCACATTAACATCACAAGGGCGCCCGGCGCCGACTGCGGCCTTGCCACCTCCGCGCGGGACTTCACAGCGTCCTCTCATCTGCTGACCCCGCGGCCTGGGCTCCTAGGCTCCCCTTTCTCTACCCCCACCCGGGCTCCTGCACCGCGGTCACTCTCCCGGGACATGCCAAAGGTCTCCCTTAGGCCGCCCCACTCCCCGCCAGGTGCGCCCCAAGGAGGCTCCGGAGAAGGAAGCCTTCTTTGGGAGCGCACTCTGATCAGACGAGGGCGCCTCCTCTTGGGGAAGCGACCAAGCCGAGGTTCCGAGGCTGGCCCTGTGGCCTTCTCCCCAGGCGGCCGCATTTCCCACCCGGACGATCCCCGGCATGTGCCCAGTGACGCACAAACCCGATGCCCAGAGACAGCCCCTAACGGCTGCTCTTGATTTATACGGCTGTAATTGGCTATAAACCTCTGCAGAGTGGTCATAACCTGCATGCATGCCGGCCGGGCTGGGCCAGCAAGGAGGGCAGAAAAAAAAGCGGAAGTGTAGAGAGCTGGGAAAAGGACTACAGGGAGTAAAAAGGGGACGCCAATAGGACTCTCCCCACGGCACCTATTCGCATTTCCTTTCCACCTTGACACACATCCTGACACCAGAAGGGGCAGACCCCGAACCAATGAGCCCCCCCCCCCCCAAGTCCGGCAAACCTAGGATCTTTGTAGGGACATCTCCTGAGCAAGCTTCTTGAACATGCACGCGTGTACACACACAACCCCGAGACCCTTGAAAGGAAGCTTTGGGAGAAAAGATCCCTGTATGGAGCAGCGGCTGACTCTCCACCAAGGTTTCCTTCCCTTCTCCCTCTGCAGACACGAGAGGACTCCCACGGCTTCTTGCCCCTAGCCCTCCAGCTTTCGATTGTAATAGCCCCTTTGCAGATCAAAGGTTCAAAGACCGGGGCGCGCCCCCTTCCCCTTACCTCCTGGGGCCAACACCTTCTTTGCAGCTACAGCAGCTTTGCCCGGTCTCCCTACTTGCTGTAGCTCCGCTCCCTGAAGTTGGCCGGAATGGCCAAACCTGGCCCCACGTGCCGCCTGGACGCCTTCCTGGCCCCCCAGGCCACCACTCTTCTTGAGTGGCTCAGACGGGGAAGGAGAGCGTGGAGAGAAATAGTCTAGAGCCGGGGGCGGCGGAGTTCGAGGCTCCCCCTTCCCGGCGGCTCGAAGCTGCGCACCGAGCTCGCGCGGCAGCGAGCGAGGAGGATGCGATTCCGCTCGCGTGCAGCCGAGCTACACCGACATGCCCGGGAGTCTCCCGAGTGTTCGGCTGTTGGAAAGAGGAAGCGACTACTCTGCCCTAAACTGAACGCGGGTGGAGGCAAAATATTCAGTCCCGACCCCCACCAGCCCAGGTGCAGTAGCTAGAGGGGACCCGAGGGTCAGAGCCCCCTGAACTGGTCTTCCCGCCCCGCCCCTCCGGGCGCGGAGCTCCGGGACAGCCCGGACGGCCCAGGACGCGCTGGCCACACAGCCTGCCCAGCGGCCCGGCCGTCCGCGCCTTCCCAGGGCGCCCTCCTGCGGGGCGCGGCCGCCGCTTACCTTGGCTTCCGAGGGACGGCTGCGCGGGCTTCCGCATCCACTCGCACAGGTTCCGCCGCTGGCCGCCGGGGGACAGCTGCTCGGCGGCGGCGGTGGCGGCGGGCCCTGGAGGGCCAGGGTTGAGCGTCTGCAGCAACCCCGAGGCACAGGAAGGCGCGGCGGCCGGGTGGTGCGGGTGGTGGTGCGGGTGGTGGTGCGGGTGGTAGTCGGCGGGGCTGCTGTAGCCCATGGCGGCGGCCGGAGAGCCCCCGTTGAGGCCGTGCGCCACGGCGTTGGCCGCTGCACCCCCCGGCGCGTAGCCGTTCCAGTCCTCGCGGAGCGGGGCGCCGTAGGCGGCGGGCCAGGACGGCCCCGGGGACTGCGCGCTGTCCAAGTTCGCGGCCGCGGCCGCCGCAGCCGCCACATGATAGCCGCCGTAGTCCGGGTACTGCGGGGGACTGACGAAGTTCTGCGGGGCCAGGTTGAGGCTGCCAGAGTGGCGCACGGAGCTGGGGTACATGCTCACGTCCTTGTCTAGGAGGTAGCTCACGTACATGGTGGCGAGGGCCCGACAGCAAACCTCACCATGCTGCCTGGGGACGGACGCTGGAGGCTGCCCGGGGGAGCGAAGGGGAAGAGGCGAGGGGGCGTGAGGAGCAGCGGTGGCTGCGCCCCAGCCCGCGGTGCTCGGCTGGCTCCTCGCGGCGCTTCTGCCTCTGAGGCGGTTCCTCCCTCTGGCCTGCCTCCTCCCTCCCTCCCTCCCTTTCTTCCTTCTTTCCTCCCACCTCCTTCCCACTAGGCTGCAGAGGCGGGGAAGACCCGCCACAGGCTGGCGTGCAGAGCCCCAGGCTGGCGGCCTTACGTGATTAACGAGTGTTTACAAGACTTTATTAGTAATGACACAGACACCAATGGCTGGAGACGTCGAGGCGCAGCGCGCACCCTGCGCGCAACCCCCTGAAACACGATTTGCATTTTAAAAGATAAGGGGGGGGAGCTTGGAGAGGACGACTCTATCCCAACTAAATATTCAAACCTTTATTGTCAAGAGCTTCCTCCTTCCAACCTGGTGCACTTTAACCTCCAATCATAGGTTCAAAGAATGAAATCAAGAGACTTGCAAAAGAGAGGGCGAAAGAGCTATCTTGGTGGGAATCTGTCTTGGAGACTGAGGAGTTGTGTCTATGCATTTGCGGGGAAGAGGGGTGGGCGGTCACGAAGCTCTTTCCATCCCAAAGGGAAAAGCAAAGGGAAGCCATTGCTTTGATGACAACGTTTCTGACCCACCCGAGGTGACGAGCGAGCGGAGCCAGAAGAGATGGGCCAGTTCCTTCCCGCTCTGCGCGCCTGGCCAGAACGACCGCGCGCCCCAAACAACAGTCACCCAGTCCTTTCTTTTCTTCCCCAGGGAAGCCACTGGTTCTCCGCACGAGATAAATTGTGACCCCAGCTTCAAGCTGCATCTCCGAGTTCATCTCACGTTTGAGATTTAGGTTAAATTAATGCAATTGCTTTGAGCATTTACATTCAAGACTCAAAAGTAAACTACAAACCAAGGGACAGTGGCAGAAGTCAAGGTAGTTAGGAGGGCAGAGACGGAAGGGAGCAGGAGGGGAGAGGTAGAGCGCGGGTAGCGTTTCTTGAGCAGGGTACTGGTCACTGTGTGTTGTGAAAATCCAGGGTGTACACTTATATGTTTAGTATACTTAAGTATATGGTTAAAAATCAAGGAAGAGAGGGCCTAGACTTTCTCCTAATAGGTACCTAGGTATTTATATGTCTTAATACTTTCTCCTTTACAAAGTAAAACGTCCTTCCAAGAAAATTGTTTTTCATCTCCAGGGGATGATGGGGGAACCATGGGCCATTGCTAATGACGGCTTCTGAAAATCGCCCAGTGGGGAAGGGTTGAGAAAGTATCCTCCGTGGTTTTTGAAACACTGTGTCCACAGGGCCTGGGGTTGGAAGCGCAGGCCTGTTTCAGGAACTGCTGCAACAGGAGCACAGGGCAACCAGATTCGGCTTCTGCCGGTGTCCATCTCTGTTCAGCGCCCTCAGGGAGACGGCCCCGGTTGCCGCCTGCCTTCTCCCCAGCCCAGAGGCGCTGCCAGACTAGGATCTGAGGATCCCAGGGGCCGGGGCCGGCGGGCCGGGCAGCCTGACTGGGTGGCTTTGAGCGCTCCCGAATCAGCGGGTGCTTGCCGCCCTCCGCCAGATCTGCACTTGTCGGTTCTCATTGTCAAGCACTCTCTGGTATTTGTCACTTCATCTTGTCATCCCTGGAGCTCTTTCCAGTGTCCTTTATCTCCCTTGATCGGGAACAAAGCTGATGTTGTCATCCTCTCCATTTTACAGATGAGACCCACCAAGCTGTATGGTACAGAGAGGCCAAGCCAGAGCAGGATCAAAACTGCAGGACCTCCTGTTTGCCGGGCCCTCCTGGCCTTGTGTTTCCTAAGGAAGAAGGTTAAAATTGGGGCTGGGTCTGGGGCAGCAAGCTGAGCACTCAAGAGATGGAATATCAGAGCAGGTCCTCCATGTGGTCCCCCCAGGCCTGGGCCAGCCAGCTAAGTGCCATCGGACCTCTCCAGAAATAAAATAGGAAATAAATTGTAAACCCCATTACAGAACTCAAATCACCAGGGGAGGGAAAGGGGTCTGCAGTCCTGATGGGGCGGGAATGTGGGAGGTTAAGTAGTGGGCACTTGGGACTTTTGATCTAGCAAACATCTTCCTCCTCTTCCTGGAGACACAATCCCTCTTTCCGTCCCCCCAACCCCCTCCCAACCCCCAAGCTCTGGAAGCCGAGGCCCAGGCTCGAGCCTGTGTCTTCGGAATGTGGGCATTCTTTGGAACAATCACTTTATTGGGGACAGCCATCCCCTCCGCCCTGCGGTGGCCGCTTCCTGCGTTTTTATGGCCCGGCCGCTGGCCGCTGCCTAATTGTCCCGGTTTTCCAGCTGTGTCTCTGTGCTCTGCCCCGGAGAAAGGGCTCTGGCCTGCCCGCCCAAATGCTTTGGGAGCGGCCAGGGTTGCTCTGGCCCCAGGGGTCACGCCAGGTCCAGAGCTGACCCTACCACAGGGAAGCCTGAGGCTCACTTGGGGTGTGAGGGCTGCAGATAGGAAATCATGGTGAAAACCAATCGGTTTCCTTCATGAAAAAATGGGCCCACTGGTAGTGGCATGGCCCGCCTATGGTCCTGGGGTCTGGGCTTTTTGGTGAGGGGAAAGGAGCCAATAATGATGTCCTTGAACAAGCTCCTCAGAGCAGAAGTGTCCCCTCACATCCGGGTTGCCCTCTCAGCCAAGAGAGGGCCCATCTGGGTCCCTGGAGGGGCAGAGTGGTGAGAGCAGTCAGAGAGAGTGGAAGGTGGCTGATGGGAAGGGAGTCTGGGTGTCTTCTCATCCTGATGGCTTACCCCCTGGCAGGTCTCTGTCGGGGGTCTGCCCTCTGGAGGCCTGCTCTGGGTGGTGGCGGCTCCTCAGCGTCTGGGTGCAGGTATGCAGCCCTGGAAGGATGCAGATGCCACATGCGTCAGGACCTCAAGCAGAGCTTTCTCATTCCTAGACCCAAGGTGCTTAACAGCTTTCTTAGAGCCTTTTGGCCTGAGCCAAGAACCACCTCAGATGGCTGTCCCCACCTCCGCAGCTCAAGGCTCTCTTCCAGCCAGTACCTCAGGCCCTTAACCGGCTGCTCTGCTAGAGAAGCCTTCAGCAAATCACTCTGGAGAAGGCAAACTTGTTCGGGAAGCTTGGGGCTTGGGTTGGGCTGGGGCTGTGACCCCACGGAGCCAGTGCTCGAGTAGGCTTTAAGGGCCAGAGGTGGTAGGAGGAAAGAGACTCAGGTAAATAAAGTGTCAGGAAGACTACAGGGATAGCCATGACTCGACTCGCTTATAAAAGGGACGCCTCTTTGTTACTGACAGTGTAGAGGCCATACCACATTCCTCGGAGGGGGGTCTCATCTTCCAGGATCCCAGCTGGTAGCAAGGGCAGGGGCACAGAGGGGGGATGGAAAGCAGGAGACTCCGGAAGGGGCGGGCTGCTCCTCTAGGTAGACACTCCTTGAATCCACAGATCATTGACAGGGCTCCCTCCCTGCTCAAAGGTCCTGGGTGTTTGCTGCAGCTTGGGGAACCCTGCTTTCCCCCATATTTGTGGCTCCCGGAAACTGGGGAGCCTGTGACGCTTGTAACCCAGATAGGGCAGGCCATCTCTATCCACCTTAGCGTGAAAGTCTACTTTCTTTTGGATCAAGGAAATGATCCAAATAGTGCAGCCCTTCCAGACTCCCTCTCCTCCCCTGCACAGGAAACCCCCACCCTGCACTGACCTGAGTCCCCAGGATAATTAGGAAAGAGTGAGAAGGAAGAGAATGTTGTCTGATAAAATTGTTCGGCTTGGCGACCTGCAGCGCTGTGGAAAAACGACTCGATCTCTACTTAATTTGGAGTTTGGGGAGTTCTTCAGCCACTGCACTCAATTGCCAATCCCCCTACACAAAGGACGGCTCAATAATGGGTGGTTTGACCCCGAGAAACCCACTCTGCACTGCCACAGCCCACTCAGCTAACATCTCTGGGAAGGAAATCAATCGCAGTGTCCTTTCTGTGGGGCCTCCCCGAGTCCATGGCCTGCTTAGCCCCATCAGGCCACAATGGAGCCCAACGTGTTCAGCCTGCACAGCAGTGAGGGGCCGAAGCTGCCCAGGCTTCCTTCACTGGAGCAGACGTGTCCCTGCCCAATGGGGTCAAGAATGTTTCCTCCCAAGCAAACTGAGTGTCTGGTCCTCTCTACCTGAGGAAAAGCTCCTGCGTTTGTAGGAAGTCACTGGTGGACCAGAGTTTTATCACTTGGGGACCAGGGGGCAGAAGTGTGGGGAAGACAGCTGCCTTGCTCCTCTCACAGAGGGACCACCATGCTTTCTGATCCAAGGCAAGGAATACATTTTTTTCCTGCTCTTCCATCTGAAATCTATTCTCAAAGCCAGGAGACCTAGGAAAATAAAGAGCCTCAGGACAGGGGGTGATATTTGGGTGCAGAAATCTGGCTTTGCTCACTGAGTGAAAGTTATGGAAATAAATGGTGATTGCCCATTTTCTTCCTTTCTTCTGAAATTAGAGTCCGCGGACATTGTGTGGGTATTGTATAACGCACTCTAATTCTGTGTGATGGGTGAGCACAGAGAATGATTTAAAGCCCGAGGAGGGAGGGACTTGGGGTCTCATCCCAAAGGAAAACCCTTCATGCTGGGGAGAACCAGGCTCTTAGACCAGCAACAGCTTTGATGTGGAGGACCCTCAGTTACCATTTTTTCACTCACGAATGTCTCGTGCCCAAAGTGACCTTTATCATATGAAAATGTGTTCCTAGGAAGCCCTACACAATAGGCTTTATGTGGCTGAGTGAAGGCACTCAGATAAAGGGTCAGCTCTCCTTGAGTCACTGGGCCACTAGGAAGCTCATCTCCCCAGAGGGGAGACAGGGGACTTAGTTGTCCCTGTAGCATTTCCATTTTACGAAGGAGAAATCTGAGGCCCTGAGAGGTTGGGCGACTTTCCCAAGGTCACACAGATAGCTGTTCCAGTTACTAAAATTAAATGAGCTACTACAGGTGCATTCTTTGCAACCCGTAGCAGTCTGTACAGATGTTAATCATTACTAAGGCTGCTGGTGCCACCCTGGAAACAGTGCCTCTGCCACTCGAAACCCACTAGCATGATTCCTGGAATCCAGACTCCCCACCCCCACGCTACACGCCAAATA